ATCCCATGCACCTGGTGAGAAAGAAAAATGAATACAAAGTTGGGAAGACTGAAGTATGCTACAGATGAATGATCATTTTTAGTATCTTCTAAAACTGTTGCGTGTCTACTGTACCCTTTTAAACATGATGAGTGACAGGGCTGCTAGTGCAGTGAAGAGAGCCGCACACAGGATCATGAGGATTCCCACCGGGATGCTTTTATTCAGGGCCATCAACGCTGAAATCCAACCACTACAAGTAACAAACTCATTATTATCGATATCCTAGAAATTTAAATGTATCGTCATTGACACAAAACACAACATCAACTGTTATAAAACTAATGAAATAATAATTTCCTCCCTGATTATTTGTACAGGATGTGTCATCAACGCATTACTTCTCACTCATGCAGTGATTTGTGACATTTGTCCTGTTGTCCTACCTGGCGCCCCAGCCACTGATGCCGATGCACTGAATCACATAGACGCCAAACTGACAGATGTAGACAAAGAAGAAGACGAAGAACCGGAATGAACTGTCACTCCTGCAGAAAGAGGAAAACAAAACAAAAAACATTTAAAGACTTCTGAAAAACCTCAATATTTATTTTGTTGTTAAAATGTGTTTGTACCACCCCCTGCAGGAAAAGGAGAGGTAGCTGAGTGCTGGTGTTCACCTGAAGGCACTGTAAAGTGGTCTGTACCAACAGACGAATGAGCAAGGCGTGAAGAGCAGGAACCAAAGGATGGACAGACCAAAGTCCACGCCCCGGCCTACGTCCACAATGAACCAGGCCAGACAGCTGACCATGTTGACCAGCAGGGTTCCAGTGTGGGCTGGAGGAAGAGGACGAACAGAGTAAGAAATATAACAGTAATGTTGAAACTGGATTTAATAAGTGAGAGAGAGAGAGGGAGAGAGAGATCATAAAGTTAGTCTGAGGATGAGGGGGAGGAGGATCCAGTGTCAAGTTGGCATTAAGGTGCAGTGAACACTACTGTTTAATATTTTAAGATGTAACTGTGTGTGTGGAATAAAACAACTGTAGGAAGAAGTGTCACCACTGCACATTTTACTTGACATATTTGAAATAATAAGTACTTCTGAGTTTTATTTTCTAATCAGCGATTGACTTTTTATTTTTTGTCGACGTACTGGCTTTACTGATGGGACCCTCCTACACAAACCCATGCACAGATTTCTTTTTTTATTATTCATTTCAAAACCCTTCGTCGACCTAACTCGAACATTGACCCTAATCTGGGACGAACCCTCGTTCATTTTAATCCCTAATCCAGTTCTGTCCACATTTCTCACCATATTACAAACTTAACCTTTGACCTCAGAATTGAGACGCCTCATCGTTACAGTACAGTCAGGCTCGTGTCCATCTGGACTACCACTAAAAACACTCACATTCAAATACTCATTACTGCCATTCGTTGTTGTGTGGTGAACAGCGACCGTGTCCTCAAAGAGACCGTTGATGCAGAAAGACGGTGAACAGCGACCGTGTTCTCAAAGAGACCGTTGATGCAGAAAGACTGTGTATTTTCCATCACGGTGTGAAATACAACATGCCGGTGTCGGCTGACCAACCACAGCTGAGTGGAGGTCGGAGAGAAACAGCCTGTGAGTTTGAATCCATTCGGTTTTAAGTATGAAACAGCGATAAGAGAAAATAGACTGTGAATCAAACAGCAGAAATGTGGGAAAAGAGATTCCTGAAATTCCAACATCTGGTGATCACTCATGTCTGTGTATAATCCAATCTGTAGGCAATCATCTGACCAAATCACTTCATTAGGCCACATGACAGCACCATGTGCTCGACGTGAGGGCTGCTCAATTCCACTGGAAGTCAGTCTCTCTCTCTCTCTCTCTCTCTCTCGCTGTAATCTTTGAGGCATATTGTAAATTTGAACGTCACATAAAAATGTAAAAAATAAATTTTAAAAAATGTCTCAGAACTTTGTAAAAGACAGAGATTAAGACCAACCTGATTAAGGTTTATGACAAATGTGGTAGACTGAAATATTATACACAGTTTAAATACCAGTATCATAGTAACATTAGTATTTTAATTTATTGCATGATGTTTTTTGGTGCTAAGGGTTGTCTTATCTATTTTTAAATCGTTTCCTCAAACCCATCCCTTAGTCCTTTGTCACTCTGTGACATTGCTTTTATTTATTTGATTTGACGTGATTGGTACCTTCCATTATAGTTATAACTAATATCTAAGTTATATTTTTCAGTTTGAGTTATTTATTTGCATTTTCAAATATGAAACATTTGAAAAGAAATTGATTTCCCCAGAAGAGACAAAGAATCAGGTTGAAACATGGTTAAAAAGGCGCCCCCTAGTGTTCTACAGTTTATGTATTAAACTGAAGAGTCATAGTTTGGATTACCAAACGGTTAATTTTAATCTCAAAGGCTTCAACTTTAAAAAAAAAAAAGATCATACATTGAAAGGCAGCTTCATAGACACAGCTAGACCCAACACAGTGGACGACACTGACTCACCCATCCAGAGGTAGTACATGATCTTGACCGTCTTTTGGAACTCCACAGGAATGTCCACAGTTATGTCGTGATAGAAACATGGAGCCACTGGGAACTTCTCGGGGAGCGGAGGCCAGTTATTTTTCCTGCCTGAAAAAGAATGAGTTTGGTGAGTTCTGAGTGATTATGCCAAAAACATCAGTTCCATTTCACTGAGAGCCTATGAGCAATGGTTGAAATTAAATGAAATGAAATTTTGCAGAAGTCACTTTCCACCCCAAAGTCTAGGTATATTAGTCCATTAGTAGAGTTTTTCTGGACAGACACCTTCAGAACACAGGCCAGACACACTAAATGAAATAATAATCATATTTATTTGTAACGTTATTATTTGATATATATTTTGGAATCCATTTGCAGACCAGATTGGACAATAATGTTGGAGTCAGCCCACGGGCCGCCAGTTGATGATAGATAGATATATATTAGGTATATTAGATCAATCTGATTGATTATTTTTTGGATTAGGCTGACATGTCTGCAGGTATGTTAGGTTGAATTTCAGATTTGAACCTGAAGCACTGAGCGACTGCATTTCTCTCTCCCGTCGATCCAATTCTGCAGCCTTCTTCTCCAGCTCCTCCTGTCGCCTCAACAGCTCATCAGCTGCTCTCGTCTGCTCCTACATACATATACATACACATACACACATAACAAAATCTGTCTTGTCAGAGATAGTCCCAGCTGTGGTCAGTGATGTCTGTACCTGAGGCTGTGAGTAGGACGGAGGCTCCTCTGTGGGCTTCATGATGGCTGGCTGTGTGTTGGTGGGTGCAGCCGACCTGGGAGCCATCGGTGCAGGTGTCTGTGGAGAGGAAAAAATGAAACACGTTTACCTTATAGTTTAGTACAACTGTCAAACAGCAGTGAAACCTCATCTGTGCACTCTTTACATACATTAATCGTTACATCACTATCAACATCCTCCCATGCGTGCCTTATGTTTATATTGTTCAGTAATACATCCACACGGGGCAGTGCTGAGTTAGTCTTTTCTATCCATAGATGCTCCTCCTCTGTACAGTCAGTTTCTCTGGCACTAACAAACACGGTGAAGGTGGAGAAGGTTGTGACAATGTTCCTGCAGGAGACCGTGCTTGGACAGAAATTGTTCTCGCTGGTTATGCTGTGTTTGTTGTTCTATCCCATAATAATGTTTCTTACTTTGGGGCACAGGACTGCAAGTTCTCCAATGACGTACCAAATTACACATGTGAAGAAGGCTCGAGGAGAGTAGCATTGAGCATAATGTAGTTTAGTAAAATGTTGTACATATTCAAAAAGGTAGTTCAGTTCAGTAGTGAATATTTAACGGAGCTTCGACTGTTTTGGTTACACATACTTGGCACCGAGGTCTGAGATAAACACTCTGATCCAATCAGCTTATTTTTGAGCTGTTGAGTTTTAAATGAGACAGAAACTGCTTCTGGACGCTGGTCACTGGTTAACGTTGAAGTAAATGTGACCAAAGTTTACCTTCATGACTAAAAGGCTCCCTGGTCTATTTCCTTGAACCACTTTAACGATAAACGATTTAGAATACACAGAAGTAATTGTTTTGAAAATAATCTAAACTTTTATTTAGTGGATCAGACTTTAAATATGGTGTAATTTGTTGTCATTTAATTGTTTTTGTTATTTGTTTCGTATTTCTTATTTATGTAACTGAATACCAGTTAACCCCAAGTTTTACCATCACTGTTACCTAGTATCTAATAGCATCACTTGAAAGTGAGAATTAACCTCCAGAAATAGACACATTTCCTGAAACCTGCTTAACTGCTTTTTGATCATTCAGCTGCCAGGATCATTCTGAAAAGCACTCACTGGTGTGGTGTCTGTGAAAGGATTGTACTCCTCCAGCTCAGAGGCAGCCGCCCGCCCCACCTGGGTCCGGGACGGGGCCCGGGGGGGGATGACATAACCGTTCCATATGTACTTTGTGTTTTCACACAGAGCAGCAACGTTACGTACTTTGTGTTTTCACACAGAGCAGCAGTGTCAGTCGCTGTGGCCATATTGATTAAAATGGCTAATGAGAGTGTGACTAACCCCCTCCATTGTTCTCCGAAGCCTTAAACCATGATCTTCCTTTGAAACAGGACTATAATTCACCACTGACAAAGACAAGATGATTCCAATAATTTTCACGGGAAGAAGTCTATAAATAGCCCAAAATGCGGTCCAGGGGTTTAAGAAGCAGAGCCGTGGGTTGAGCTGCCGAAGACAGAGATGTACAAGAACACATTCTAGTTCTAGTTCTTTGCACTGAGCACAAAACCTCTTCTGCACCGAGTCATCCATGTACTCATGGTACTGAGGAACAGAGAATGTAAATTTCAATGTCACCTGTTTCTACACATCGGCCAGAATGACCGTTGGATTTTGTCAATGGGCAGCACAGAATCTTCAAATGACAGATTTATTGCTCTGTGAACTTTGACACGAATCAACCAAAAAACAGACTTGTCAGCTGTGTGAGTTCACAGTGAGGTACCAAAATATCAAATTGACAGAACTGGAATTAGAATTACAGAATATTTCATTAAATTCCAGCAGACAACATTCCAAATCCTAAAACGTCACAGTGCTGCAGCGTCATGCCTTTTTTGTTTATTAAATTATCCCTAATTATGGCAATAAAAAGAAAACCACAAATATCACACACATTAGCTCAATAAACATATACACTTTAACCATTTTTCTATGCCACAATTTCCCACTGTATAGTTCTTTTGCTTGACCATATTTGCACTTTAACTCAACTCACCATCAGGTGTCGTCAGTCCAGGACCAGTTTCATTTAATGTGTAGCTTTGGATTTAAACCCAGTTTGCATATTCCTATAGAGGCTCTTATCCAGTCCTGGTGCAGTCCATTGACTGACTGTGGGACTCTTAAATTTCTGGAAACATGTCCTCTGCTGGTACACGTACACAGGCGCACACATACGCGTGCGCATGCACACACACTGTGCAACTTGCCACCAGACCGGGGTCATGAATATTTCAGGCTCTGCTCAAAGTTTAATGCTGCTCTATACTGTGCAGTCACACATGCAAATTGACCAAGTGCAGAAATTTCAGATTAAAATCGACTGTAAAGTTTGTTGTCTCTCTGCACATCTGCCGTTTTTACTGTATCAATCACCAATAATACAGGAAATACCTTTGTAGAAATCACAACTCTCATGTAGCAGAAAATTAACAGAGCATGTCATCTTTAGTTAACTGTTGTTAGCCTAGAGCTTGGAAAATATAGGCCAGAACAGGCTGTAAATAATTTGGGCAACAAATGGTTGTCTAGAACAGCGACATATGACTTTATCAATAATTGAAGATGGCTCAGAGTAGTGATCACAGCGCCATTTAACTTTGGCCAACAGAAGAAAAAGAGGAGGACAGGAGTGGAACTCTGACATTAGCCGTGTCGGTATGTTAATGAGTTAGCTGTGAATTATTCATTGCTGTTGTATCTGGTGATCTCTTATATTATTATCCACAGAGATATTCTTTTGGCTACGATGGCTATGTCTTTATAGGAAAAGCACTGACACAAATATCATCTCCACCTTCAGTGTATCCCAAATAAATAATGAGTGTGGTACAATAGTTTGTAAATTAGTTCAGAAAGATAAGATGGTTGTGACTACAGTATCACAGGTCATAGAATGCTGGTGGAACACAGTCTAGCTCTGAATACTCTGTAAACGGGTAATAAGATATTTCCATTAACTTTATATATATGTACATAAACAGTACATGTATGTGTATGTATATATATATGTCAGATTTAAATGTCAGAATTTACCTAAACATATTCAACTAATTTTAAAAGATTATTTGAAGCAAAAATGCAGCTTTTTTTATTTTTATGCATCAGATAGTGAATAATTGATATTCTGCTGCTACATTGTCAGAGGATTATAGAACCAGTTGCTATGTGAGTCGCTTTGGATTAAAAGTGTCTGCCTAAATTCTAAATTTAGATTGCTGTTGCAGTACTACTCTAGGGAAGACAGGGGGAGCTATATAATCTTTCATCTAAACAGTAGCAGAAAAGCCATGATAGATAGATAGAACCGCACGACAAAGACAGTATTGTCATTACATTGCTGAATTATCCCAACACTATTGCACATCAACGATGAACGATAAAGATAACAGTATTGAACATTAGAGGCCATAGAATTAGTAACAGAACAGGACAAAATAGTTACACTGTCACATGCTTTCACTGCACTGGTAACGTGCTTTGCATTCATTTTACAGTTTAAACCAAGTGTCGTAACCTCTGTTACAGCCTGCACACACACACAAAACAACAACCATGGGGACAGGACCAACTAATGATGGACCGTGTACCTGGGATTGTGTCCATGTGGGTGTGTATGTGTATGTGTATCCGTTTCCTTTATGGGTGTGTGCAAGCAGGAGGAACGTTCGATGGGTGCCTCTCTGTAGTACAGTAAACAAAGGTGACGATGCAAACAGGGTGCCATGCTTGCACTCACACGGTGTGAGAGAGAGAAAGCGAGCGAGCAAATATTTAGTTTTTAATTGTGAGACCACACACAGCCTGAACTAACCTAGTCTTCTGTCAAAGGAACCCGATATAATACACAACCTGCTCCCTGTCACCACTGTATGGTGTATTTCCTCACTCTCCTCAACAACAAAAGTGAAAACATTATAAACCAAAGCTACGAGTAGCCAACAAGTGGCTAGTCGTTGTAGCTCAGAAACAGTTGCTTCGTAGCAGCCAGACTGACAGCCTTGTTACGTTGTAATACATTTATACCAACACCAACTGTACCAGCTAGGGCTAAAAACGCTACCTCTGCTAGCCTACCTCACCTGAAACGGCTTGCTGAGCACCGGGTCTGCGAACGGGTTGCTGTCGAAATCCATTCTCGTTGAAGTCCTATCCAGCCCGCTGTGTCCAGGTCAACAGTTTGACAACAGTGAGCGCAGTGTGGTTATGGGGTGGACACGCAGCAGATGACACGGTCGGAGGTGAAGCAAAGTATAGATTAGAGTTCGTAGAGAGTCACTGCGTAAGATTGGCCACCACCAGCAGCGCTAACGTGACCCAACCAGGCGGAAGTAAAGAATCATCACATCCTGTTGTCAAACAAATATATTACTCTGCGTAATAAAAAAATACTTTGAATACAAGCTTTATATGTTGTTTATCTTTTCAAATGGTTACGTTAAGTAATATTGATAGGTTATACTATGAGAATGCAAAGGTTTAATTAGTTTACACAATTTTATTCTGTTTTCTAAAAAGCTCTTCAAACAAGGGGAATTGCGAAACACCATGCATCACGTGACAAATGTAGAACATCTAGTGAACGGAAAGTAAACAATGTGACTATCTAAATACGCGAACACAGGAAATATGAGGTTTTATTTTTGCATCATATCTCCCTTTTTTGCCTTTATGTTTTTTAATTAAATAAGGGAATATCCGGGTATTTAGTCTGGTCCTCTTCTTATGGGATTAAGGTCTCTGGTTGAACTTTATATGTGGAGTTAATATGGTCTCTGTGTGTGCGAGTGGCTGTGAGTTTTGTTTGTCTACCAACTGTGAACCGACTGGCACCTTATCAAGGATACACTGACTATGTCTATTGTCAGCTGGGATTGGTTCCATGTTGTCCGGCGATACTGGCGAGATTAAATGAGAGCGGATTAGTAAATTAATGAAACGGGCAGTGTATCAAAAGTGTCTCATATGTAAGGTGTATGAATATTCGGAATAAAATATATTAAGAATAAAAAAGCACGAAAGGTCGTTCTTCTCCTAATTAGCCCTGACGACATCACAGAGAATACCGCTGGATACAGTGTAAGACACAATGGTGCCGTTGTTTTGTGAGGTTACGGAGTGAACTATTACTGTATATACAGCATGTGATATTCTGTGTTCTCCTACTATAAATACAACCATTTCAAACACAGGGTATGTGCAGTTACTTTATATGATGACTTACAAAAAACGAAACTGAAAAAAAAAAAATCACACGTCTTCATTCTGTGTCAATATTTTATTGTGGTGATCTTGAAAAAAAGTATAAAATGGTATAACAATGATTTTAAAAACGTGGTTTGCAATTTGCATTCAATACATAGTTTTGTACAAAAAAATCGTTGATGATCAAAAAGCTGTTTAAAACAAAGATTCTAATTATTTAAGTCCAACATTGGAATGGAGCCTATTGCGCTCAGTTTCTACGATTATTTACGTGCTGCTCTGACGTATGACACAAGTAGTGTTGTAAGTATACACTCTAGTATAAAGTATAAGTAGGAACTATTTAACTTTAGAGCATCGTGGGCGTGGTCCAATAAATTCTACTTAAAATACGCTACGTGAAAACGTTGTTGCCACAGCGACACAGCGGTTCGTATATTCTGGACCATAGATCTCCATTGAGCAACTGAGAACTATCGTCACAAACCAATAGATCGTCTTTTCTAGTTCTTACAGCTCTAAGGCATCTGCGCGGCCGAAGCCCTGTCATGTGACACCAGCTTTTCCTAACTTACACTTCCGCTACAGCGTGTCCAAAAGTTGGGTGAAGTTAGTCTTAGCCGAGCATTAAAAGCCATATAATTCCTCGCGTTTATGAAGAGTTCTTAGCTTAAAAGTGCGGTGGAAAGAACACAACTAATCGAGCATGTCGACGGGGCCTCTGTACAATGACCAGGGTGGAGCGGACACCGCGGTGGAAGCGGGGCAGGAGAGCACCCCGACTACCTCCAGCGCCGGAGCTGCCTTTGGACTCTTCAGCACCGACTTCAAAAAGTAAGACAGCCTGGCGTTTTTATATCACCTACTGCTCCGTCGTCTGTAACAAACCTAAGAGTGTTCTTAACAACTTTCCAAAGCTTTAAACTAGTGTAGCCTACTTAAGAAAGAGGCTAGAAAGAACGTAGCATCACAATAAGTCGGTGATGTGTAAAATTAGCAGTTCGTAATAGGACAGCATCAAACTACTACATGGACCAAGTCTGTCACAACCTGCTGCTCTGAAAGCCAATGGTCAGCAGTCACACAAACCCGCGACACTCACTATTTTTCAGTGGGAGCACACAGCTGACCTTCGAGTTTGTTTAGTCTGGGACGACTGTTGACATCGACTTGCAGAGTACGTTCAATATTTCTCACACCAAGTAGAAATTTGCGGTGTTTACACTGCACTGTAGTCAACACAGATGGGACTGACTCGATTTAACGTTTTACTTTGTGCTTTTATAACGACATCCAAGTGTTAAATACTCGAATACATGTCTGGTTATAATTATTAACTTAATATTTGTTAAGTTAACTGTAAGTACTGTCTACTGCATTGTTTATCTCTTAGAATGGGACCATTTATATAAATATTAGGCATTTACTCTATATATGACATTACAAAAATGTCCTATGTTTTTGAGACTTACTTTTTAAACCAGCCGACATCCAGCCAGTCAACTTTCACGGCACCAGTTGTTACCAGATGCCCTTGACCAGTTCTTAATGAGATGACTGTATGCAATGTTGATTGATTGTAGTGGAACCAGTTTAGGACAGGCTCCACCTTTGGACTGAGGTAGAAGGTAGATGGTTCGCTCATTGTAAATGTGTACACTAGTGTGTGATGACATCATTAGCCCCACTTTTGGACATGTGTGTGCACACGTGTGTTTTTTTTAATTCAGATTCTTACTGTATGGTATATTTGTGAATGCCTTAGAAAACAAACACCATCCAATCCATCGAAGGAAACTAAAGACTCTTACAATATGTGCAATTTTTAACATATTGAAAACAAAATGAGGAAAGATGCAAAAATAATGCAACACAATGGAAACATAATAGATGTGGCAGATGCAGTTTCATCACTGCTGTCCAAAAAGGTTCATCTTGTCAGAATGCTGACTTGACATTGAAGTACAGGGACTTCTTCTTAGCCTGTGATTAGAAACATTGTTTTTAAATTAATGTTGAACAGAAAGTGCTAATTGTGAGGAAAGCTTATCATTAAATGCAATGAGATTGTTTTCTTTTTTATGCCCAAAACTGTTACAAGTTGGCCTGTGGTTAGGTGACGGTCACGCAGGTAATGTCTGAACTGTTTGCTTTCTTGTGACTTGTTGAAGAGAATTATAATAAATATACAATAACCCAAGTGGTGCATTGCATTGTTAAACAAAAGAGTGTGTAAGTGTTTTATGGCCTTAGAAAACCATAGTTAAAGGTTTCATCAAGGGTCCAGTAATTGAAAACTCAACACATTCTGAAGAATTTAAACCTGAAGAAATTAAATATTTACATGATACTTGTGTACCGTCATGGGTCTCCCCGTTGGTTTATGCTGATGGAGCTGTGACGATTTAACATGATTTGATGCGCAATTCAAAACAAATTGTTTTTAAACACCTTTTAGAGTACCAGTATTTCAGAGACCTCCATGGCTTAACCTTTAGTTTGCACTCACTTTGTTTAATCACCTGACATATGAAGGAGAAGTTATTGACTTCTACATGCACACATTTGCATGTGTTGGCTTTTGCAGATAACAATATCTGCAATACCAGATTACATTTGGGCCAGAAAAATTAATGTTTAAAGGATGAGAACAGTTTTAGGCCACATTGCTACATGGTTTGAATCTTAAAGATTACATATGACGGCAGTGATATGAATGAAGAAATGACTTTAATCATTGAATGAAGAAATGAATTATACACAGAAATATGTACATGCTGTGCTATTTTATGTAGTCACTATTTTCATTTTTAAAATTATGTTTAGAAACACAAAACTGTCTGCATCATAGTTGAATCTTTTAATGTGCTTGGAGTTCAATCTGTGAAACACTAGATGGCAGCCCTTCATTAAATATGTTTTAATCCTTTATTTCCTACATGGGTACACCGTTCTCAAGGAACTCAAAGTAGCAGACCAAGATGCAGTGTTAGAAAATGAATATCTTATAGACGTTTATTTCGCGTGGTGTGAATTTTTACCATATTTGGATGACGTTTACCAACAGACAGGGCAGCCTGGGCTCTAAGCTGCCTCACATGGTCAACTGGCCCTTATTGCTGGGTTATGTGTTTTTTGTCCTTAAGAGACTAGAGAAAAGAGAATACCAGTGAAGCATGAATGATGCTTTTGTTCGACACAACACCCAGTTCTGTGTTCTGTGTGTTCTCATCCATATGATATGACACTAGAAGTATCTCATGATGGTTGGTGATTTGTGCTTTGTGTTTCTATTTTAGCGTTTAGGAATATTTGTTGATTAAAATGGGAGGTAGCCTTTTTTTTTGTAGTTGAAATTCTAGTCTGCCCTCCTTTAAATTGTCCTGAAATGGCATCCTGAAATGCCTCGTCAACACAAAGACCATTTACGTTCCTGAAATGCCTCGTCAACACAAAGACCTGGTCAGTTTGACCTAAAGGTCAATGCCAGTTATGGTTTTAAATATTTTAGTTCAGCATGTAGTAATCTGTGATCAAGGCGTAGCAATATCTCCATAGTTGAGGGAGAATGTTAATACTAAGGCACAGATAAAATGTACCCTTACCAAAAACACACGTTATTTTACTTAGAATTTTTAAAGCCATGCAGCCCGTGCTGACAGCAGAGCTTCATTGAGTTTTAATGGTTGACCATTATCTTTTCCTATTATTATTTATCCACCCACGGGAACTTGACTGGTTGTCTTCAACCTAGAGAAAGTTATTTTCACTTGTGCACATGCTTGTTAGATAAACCACAAGCTCGTCTCTCTGTTGTTCTTTGGCATCCATCAGTTAACCACTGCCTTATTTAGCATTTTTAAATGCAGCTTTCAAGTTCATCTCTGATTTCTGGATGCATCAATGACAATCAATGCCTTCTTACCCTCATCCAAGCCCACCCACCTATCACCTCCATTAACTCACACTCCCACTCATCCATTCATTCATTCATTCATTCATTCATCCATCCAACCATGATATCCACGGTATGATACTATATACCAAGTGTTGGGACCTTATATGTCGAATTAGATATCCACGATATGATACTATATACCATGAAGTGTTGGGACCTTATATGTCGAATTAATTCAGTCAGACTGTGGCACGGTGACCCTTACAGGACCATCTTGTCATTCTGCTGTGAAATTGGCCATTGTGTGAAAAAGCATAAACTTCACTGTGTTTCCATGTATCAGCATTTACACTCCGATCACAAGTTTAAAAGTAACGTGACTTGTATGATGATCACATGATCTGCAAAGTTTAAAAGTAACGTGACTTGTATGACTGACTAATAATGTTGTCAATCTTGTGTTGGAATGTCCATCTGTCAGATACAAACAATGCAGAACACAACATTTTGAATTTGAGACCATGGGAATTTTACTGACTTTATAAACTTAAGCATAAGCAGCCATTGTTGTTGAAGTACTTGTATCATCTTACTATGTTTTGGATAATGCAGTAAAGCAGTAGTGTCAAAGGCAGTCACTCAAGGGGCCACAACTTAAAACCTAGTCTAAGTTGTACACCGAACAGGATCAACATTTGTAGAACTGAAATTAAGAATTTGATTGCAACGTTAAAATATACGTATATATATATATATATATAAAAAGCCGCAGTAATTTTAACTGTACATTTGATCAGAATTGGAATTTGAGAAGAAAAATTGTGTGATACGCACTGTGTATTTGTTACTCATCATTTGACCATTGCATTTAACCTATCTAGGACACATTAGTACAAACTTCAAGATAACCATACGCATGCAAGGTTCTGGTTGGCCATATAAAATGACGTGATGGGCCAGATTTGGCCCGCAGACCTCGAGTTTGACACATGTTGTAAAGTCCTCATCAGATTTACACCAAGACAAAAGTTATATAAACAAGTGTAAAGTCCTCATCAAATTCACACCAAGACAAAAGTTATATAAACAAGTTGTGAAAGTGAATTCTAGCCAACATTTCCCATGATGAATACAATGTTCCATGTTCCAGGGTGATTTCCTGGATTCTGTCCTGTTGACTGTGGCAGTCACACATGCCAATGCCTGGGCTGTCATTAGAGTTGAGCTGAAGTGGATTATAGAACAGTGGGGCTGACAAAAAGTACCCCTGTGTTTACCAACCTAGCAGTGCAGATAAGGCCTTCCTTTTCCCCTGAAGGGAAGTGACCACAGCACTCGCATTCAGACAATCTGAGTCACACCAACATGCCTGAGGGCTGGTAAATAAAAACCGGCACAATAAGGCAGTAGTCACAGGTTAATGTGAATGGATTAAAGCTGAAGAGTCTTTGGATTAAGATCTGAGAGTCCAAAAACTGCATGGGTTTGAGCAGGAGAAGAAAAGGCTT